CGATTGTATATACGGCCGCTGAAGATGTTCACAATTTTGCCGCAATTGTGGATGACGATGACGTTTCGTGACCACGGCATTCAATGATGATGTCTACACAGCCGCGGAAGATGTTCATGATTTTGACGCGATTGCAGAAGATGACAATAGCGAATAGTAATCATTTCGTTTGCAAGAGTGGTAGTGCTGGTAACAGCTGGCAAGTAGTCGACGACGACACTGAATCGAATACTGATAACTGATATCAAACGGCAAAAACGCTCTAGCGGCAGATTGCAAAACCTTTCTTTGACTGTCTATATTTACTCTATTGTCTATGAATATAGTATTACACATCTACCATAGCCATAATGTTCTACCACCTCACCCAAACAAAAGAAAAAAATTAATTTTTAAAGATTCACAAAATATCACAAATTATTCGTGAAATTAAAAAAAACATAAACATAACTGTAAACAGGCAGTTCTCATTGTGTATCACAGTTTTTTGTTGCTGCTTAGTTCAAATTAGCTGTTTTCATAAATGAAAAAAAAATAATAGTGCTGCATCCTGTTGGTAAATCTTATAACTTTAAATGCCTTTGCATATCATAGAACCAACCTTTTTAGTTGAAACAGCTGACTAAATTCTTTAATTCCATTTAAATATGAGTACTCATAAGGTTAACATGGGAAACTCTAGAGCCACTGGGGCGGAGCCCGAAAAGATTTTTGAGATAAAAATATGCCTCTATGTTAATCGTGAATGTGAGCTATCATCATACCAAATTTGAGCCCAATCTATCCAGTAATCAACACGTGATTGAACATCAAACACACAAACAAACGCACAAACTTTCACATTTATAATACTAATAAGATAGTAGCCTTTCTCATTTCACATGATCTGACAAGCACGGTGTCTCATCAAACTAGTATAATTGTTTGCTCCTATGTATGAGCAATCGATGTATCTAAGGTTTAATGGGTGTTGGGGAAAAATAACTAATTTAATTCTGTGCTGGTATTAAAATTTTTTTACCACAAAAAGATGTGAAACTACTTTATTGTTACCAGTTGTGTGGGGGCAATAAACTATAAACAAATAACTTGGTCTTTCCACATATTTAGACTGGTGTAGTTGTACAGCGTAAGTCTCCGGTTCCGAAGATAACGGATTCACATCCTGGAAATCACCATGACAATTTGACAGATGGCCACCCTGTGCGTTGCTCCTCATGAACGTTGGTGCAGCCATCTTTAAATGCCCTTACCCACCTGCGTAGGTACCATTCCGCCACTCATAATTTTCTCCCCATACACTTCAATAATCTGTCAATGAATTTAAATGGCTTTCACACCTTTAGCACTTAGAAATCTAATTACCGGTTCAGCGCAAACTTCACAGGCGACGGCAGTCTCAATTGGCGGCACCGTTTTGAATGCTCTAAACCGGATAAACACAGCCGATTTTTGCCGAATTTCCAGCGCAGGATTGCCAATACATGCACATACACAGCACAAATGTCCAAAATGCCAATCGCAGCACTGAAACGGAGAAATTTAAAAACAGTACTTACTTAAATAACATGCCTTGTATTATTCTGTCACCATAGGTAACTCTGAAACTTGAACAGTGCTGTAAGTTGATTAAAGTGCCTTTTTTCCCAAATATAAAAACTTAACCGCCACAGCACATCATAAGTTAATGTTAAACAAGGACTGAAAATGCTTCTTAGTCATATTGATAGCTTAGCCAAACTTACTTACCGGTATCTTTATTGCTTCCGATTCTTTTCCAAGAAAATTTCCCTCCTTCTTATTTGGCCCCAAATAAGCAGACAATTCATCAATATTGTTTACATGTGAAGTACTCTCATACATTAACACCAAACATTTGTAATGCTCCAAGCTTTAAACTAGAAAATTTACCTGGAACAAAAATAGGCAGTGTACATTATTCAGGCCTTCTTCTTGTTAAAAGTAATTTAAAAACAGAATATAGAAACAATGACTCAAGGTAGGGCATATTTTCTTTCCACATATATTTGGATTGGTAAATAAAAACTTAAAAACTCGAAGGCCACTGGTTCTCTCGGACCCAAGTGTCATTACCCAAGTGGAACTAATAAAGTGTGTTTTTTATTAAAACATTAATAGCTTAGTATAAAATAAAGCTATCAAGTTTGATTTATAAAAATAAATATATCCTATATATTTATATAGAGTAAAATATAAATTAAGCTTTTTGTTGGTTGCAAAACAAACAAATAAAAAGTAGAAGAATGTAATTCTTATGGGACAAATTTTAAAAATGTATTTTTAGGGTTTTATAATTACTACTGAACGGAATTGTCTAAATTTTACGGTGTCTTTCCATTGGTGTCATAATTAAGATTTGTGCAATTTTTTAACACTATAGATGCAACGGTTAGCTTGAGTTTTTTATGCGAACACTTACACACACACACAGTCAAGCGGACAACTAATTCACGACTCCGCTAAGTTATACACAACACGATACATAGATGACATATTTTTTTTTTTAATTTCTTTAGAAAGGTCTGGAGAATAATTGATAAATTTTGTATTTTAAGGGTAAAAAATTAGAAAACCCCATTTTTTGGCCTAAGCCCCTTCTCTGCATAAAAGTCATTAATTAAAACCCGGTCCCATGGCCCGATCATGCTAGTTCGCGAACTCATTCAGATTTATCCCGCCTTACACCTTCAAACCAAATTTTCATTTGATTTTACGTTATGAAACAAACATAGGCTAATTCAAGGATTTGCCTTTGCCAATTACAATCAATTGTAAGTATGGTGGGCTAATATGTTCTCAGGTACTTAAGTTATGTGTCACAATTTCATTTTCTCAGGTACGTGTTTTTTTGCCATAAGTTAACTGCATGGTTTGCTGCCTTGTTTACTGTGTGAAATTAACCTAACTTAAGTTTTGTGACGTTGCTTATTGTAAGTTATTTTATAGCCTAGGCTACTAAATTTCCATTTATACTTGGCTTCCTACCTAATATGTATGGTCGCCATTTCATTGAACAGTATTAACAGTATTAATGGTAGAATAAGTTAAAGGGTACAGTTTCTTAACTGGGCTACGCTAATTTTATTGAAACTATCGATTCGATTAGTAAACCTACATGTGATTTTTTCACCATCCAAATAGTTTGGTTGGTTAGTTAGGTTATGATAGTTTAATTTTATAATAAACTTAGATATATTTTAAAATATCAATTATTAATCACTATTTTTAATTCGATAGTTCAATAAACAATATTAACTTAAGTTAGCGTAGCCCAGTTAAGAAACTGTAGGCCTACCCAAGTTAAATCTCTTGGCTCAGTATTATCACGCTTACCATTTCTAAGGTTACACTTCCACAAGTTAACTTATCTGTTGGCACAAACAACCAAATGAAAATATCGATCGATATACGGTATCGATTATTCGAAATATCGTTTGGTATCATTATTACTCATTCGGTTTTTTGTGCCAACAGATATGGAAGTGTACTCATTTCGAACATAGCCTGTGCTTATGCTTACTGTGCCTAGTAACCATTTTTTTATATAGGCTACTAAGTTAGGCCTAACCTAACAGTAACTTAAGTTAGTTAGCCTATATTTCTTATTTTTAAGCACGCTGCTTCAAAAACAGACAATTCCTATCTTAAGTTAAGACATAAGACATTTATTGATCTTTAGGCAAAATTACATGCAATCGATCTTGTCATGGACGCTTGAAATGTACAAGACAGTCATAAATCATAAATTTAGATTAATACACCTACACCTTGTTTAAGAATGTAGGCCTAAGTCATTAGTTGAATAGGCTGCACTTTAGTTTACGTCCTACACTCATTCTAATGAAAAATATCAGTTAGATTATTCGATATTTCAATTAGGCTATTTCATTAATAACCGATATTTTTATTAAGTTAATTGTTTATGCCTGTCACAGGAAATCTGTAACTTAAGTCACAGCTAACTTAAGCTTAAGTAGGGTAGACAACTGTACCTACTAACTTAACCTAATAACACCCAAGCAAATAATAGCAATAGCCTACTGCATTTTGTTACTTTGAATAACAAGGCCTAGGAACAGGATTAGATTAAAACACAACTTACTGGATTTCAACACCACAATAGTTTTGGAATTTTTTGATGTTTACAATTTTTTAATAATTATTGTTTCTCTCCTGTCAACACCAGCCGGACCATTGACAAGATTCATTAATTTTTAATGCCGTTATCCTTCACTTCACTTCATTTTTATATCTTTTAACTTCTCACCATAAATATTTATTGCATTTTCATTGTCATACAGCATGTAATTGTTGCCATTTCTCGTATAAAAATCGTGTATAACATTTAAATAAATAAATGTTTAGGTTATAAAATACCATATCGCAGTTGTCAGTACGGTCAATTACAATTATTATCGTATCCTACCATAAAATATCGTATATATGGTAGACCTGACTAAAGCGAGCAGCTGATGCCATTCCCACAATGCAACATTCTCCTCAATTATAAGCTATGCCCCAAAATCAGAATTATAAGGTATGACTCAAAATCAGGATTATAAGCTATAGAACAGATTTGGAATTATAAGCTGTGCCACTATTTGACCATTATAAGTTGTGAAACTGAAAATGTTTCATACCTTATAACGTTTTAGAGAAATTGTGGCATAGCTTATAATTTTTCGTTAAAGTGTGGCATAGCTTATAACTGATTATAAGCTATGCCACATTTTCAACATTATAAGCTATGGAACAAATTCAGGATTATAAGCTATGACATTATAAGCTATGAGACCCCACGACCACGGCCACCTAGGCGGCCGGGTTGTTTGTACTCTACATATAGTCAATGACTGTACTGTACTAACTGAGTGTAGGTAGGGTACTGACTGAAGGGTAGAGTGAGAGTGAGAGTGTGCTCTGTGTTGTTGTGTCAAATTGTGTATTGTGTCAAATTGTGTATTGTGTTGTGTCATCATCAGCTTCGCGCAGCTTACCAACTTACCCTATTTATTTATTTAAAACTTTTAGTTTTAGGTTAGGTTTAGGCTATGTGAAAAATTAACGTAGCCAAACGGTTTATTCTATTGGTTTAACTAACTGGAATCAGTCAACTAGAAAAGCAATAATGAATGCTTATGCTATTAGTTGATAAGTGTTGCACGTTTAAGTTGATGTTTATATTACACAACTCGTGATTTTTACCAGAAAAGCGCACGTTGTTGTTGTAGCAGTTGTAGGCCTAGTTAACGTTGTAGGTTTAGGGTTGTATTGGGATTGGGGTAAGGTCTAATTACTCAGACTCAGCTTTTAACAATGGTTGCGCCATTGACTAAACAATACGTAGACCTCATTAAAACTTTTAAGAGTAATTGTGCTACTCTTATTGATCAGTTTAAGAATAAGAAAATTGAGAGCATCAAAACGTTTTTGGAAGCTTGGCAGTCTTTGAACTTCAATTTTACTTACGAGTAAGTAAGTAAGCCTAGGCCTAGCCAAGAAACTGAACCTGACCCTAGATACCATATTTTCCAGTCCCATCCCTACTATGTTTCGTATTGTCATATGCAAGGTAGGCCTAGCTAGCCTAACTTTCATTATCTAAAAATAGGCCTAGTATAGACCTAGTCTAACTGAAATGGCTTTAACTCAACTAGGTAGACTTTCATAAGCAGGACTCCAAAAAAACCGAATGAAAATTAAATATAGTTTAATGTAGGCTATGGAACTTAATAAGTTACTATCGATATATATTATCTAGTAGGCCTAAGTAAGTAATCGATATTTCTTTTGTTTATTTGTTTGTTTGCTTTTGGATTGGCAACCCTGATTGCCATTGCTGGACCAGTGAATTAGTGCTCCTCATTCCTCATTTTAACTTACCGACCGGTGCTTTTAAAGTAGTAACTTAGGCCTAGGCCTAGACACTTTTTAAATTGTGTGGTTACACATTGTGTTTACACTCAGGACACCTTGGGAGTAGGGGTCTCAATCTCGGGCCTTCAATCCAATCCTGGGATTTCGGGATTCTTCTCAGCCGATCCCGGAATTACCCATTATGATTTTTAACTTTTTAGCCATTTTAATTACGCGAGAAGTCCCCTCGTTGAGTAGGTACTTTAATGTTTTAAACTGGCCTTACCAGTGTTACACTGTGTAACTTAATGTTTCTGTTTTCTAAGTACCGTACATAAATATTACCACGCGGAACTTTCATTGCCCGTATTTCTTATTTACAGTGTATAAATGTTAATATGTCACTCTAGAATATAATAAATACATTTAAAAAAATCGCGAGCAACCACACTTGCACGTAGCCTATACGCCACGCTAGCTAAGTTAACCCTTAGAGTGCCAGGCGAGAAATAAAAGTAACGCTCAAAAAATGCCGATGATTTTTCCCGAAGGTCGCGCTAAAAATGCCGAGCGCGATCTGGCGATTTTTAGGTTAAAATTTCGTAAAAATCGAATTTTCGATATTTCGACCAACGAAAATCGATGTATCGCATCTAGCAACTTTCGACTCAATGTTAATATATGGGTTAAAAGAATCCGAGTATTTATTCGGTTGTTATGACAGCTGTTCGATCATTACGAAACGTCCGGTCAGCCGGACGTTGGCACTTTTGGCTCGTTCTAAAAACGTCCGGTCGGCCGGACGTTGGCACTTTTGGCTCGTTTTAAAAACGTCCGGTTCCCCGGACGTTGGCACTCAAAGGGTTAAAATAAAAAGATAAAATGGGAAGAATCACAAGTATCAGCGTAAAAATGTTATTTTGACTGACAGCTATAAAACAATATACCCTAAGATAACTCACGCTACTGTAAAACAATAAACCATCTGCTTATGTAGTAGCGTGTGTATGAAAAACGTAATTTTAGATTGTAAGAAATTTAATCACCACACTAATAACCAAATGAAGATAATGTTATAGACCTTAAATATAAGCAATCTTAATAATGATATTAGCCTAATCGTGTGTTTATAGTTATATTTTATGGCTTAAATGAAAATAATACTAATAATAATAATAATAAAATATAATAATAATAAATAATAATAATTAAAATAATAATAATAATTTCCGATTGCAATGCTATTTTTGCTACAAGAATTGCGTTGTTTACGTTTAATGTCAAAAGTAAAACTCAAAATAACTCGTAGGCCTACTGTAATTAAGTTCTAACTAATGTAATAACATTTACAGAAAGTAAATCCAAATCGTCTAAAAACTGAAACATATATTTAGGCCTACATTCGTCCACCTATTGAGTTTAATGATAACTTAATTAAATTTTCCAATCAAAAAAGGTAATTCTTAGGCTATACCATTTCGTATAATCAAGAGTCCTAAAAATAAAGAGTATGTGTTTCAAGTGTTATTGGACTATTTTTATTAATTTTCCGTAAGTAAAAGTCCTCAAATTCACAAAAAATTCAATATAGGCCTAAACATAGGTTTTGCCTATGGATTGTTAATCCCGGGATTAAGTAACCAATCCCGGGATTTCTAGGTATCAAAAATCGGCTGGGATTCGGGATCCCGGGATTGAGACCCCTACTTGGGAGTTCTCATCCTGTTCAAGGCCCCACTAGAAAAACAGCCCATGCTGCAGCACGGGCAGCGCAACACTACGTCACAGTGGTGGATAGTTGTACTAAAATCTTACCATAAAATCTTACAAACAGCCAGCTTGTTTATTTACCTAAAACATATGGGAATGGCGATGGCAATGAATTTATCAATGAAATCTATCCACTAGTGTGACGTCATGGATCCTGCAGCATGGCCTGTTTTTCTAGCGGGGCCTTGTTCTGTTGCAGCACCACAATTTTCCGTTGTGAGTAACATATTTGTAACATAGTTGTTATGGCTGAGACCAACAATATTCCTGATAACTATACAGACATGCAGGGCGAACTCAATACCTTTTTGGAAAATGTTGTAAAAACTAAATTTAGTATTGGTAATGTCTGTTCCTAATAGATATGCTGTACAAGATCTTAATTCTACTACATTATCCTTAAACTAAATAACGAACTTACTTGCTAAGTTCATTTTTGGATCGCCCCAACGCCAAGTTTGTCCTCACTGATGACTTTCTCAGACGTTTTTACACTTGACACGGCTTAGGCCTACACTTTAACCACTTTAGTTCAGTAGGCCTATTGTTCACATTTCCAGTATCTTTAAGCAAACTATACAAACACAATAGCCTTTCTTTCATTTGACCCAACTCCTTAGTATACCACCCCTTGTTCAGTTTTTTCCAAATAGGCTACTTAGGTTTGAATAGTTTACATTTATTCGGGACCATAAAATAATTAATACTGTTGATTAGTATATTAAATAAACATTGAAACTGTATTATAGCACTACTCTCAGAATTGGACATCAAAGATAGCCAATCATAAGTACCTAGACAATTTCAGAGACATGTGTACATGACTTTTAACAGGTAGATAAAACTGAATGGGATCTATTGAGACTAAAGGCGATGTATTATTATCTATAACTAATGGTTCATTCTCCTTCTGCATACTAACAATTCCATCATGGTCCGAAAAAGGAAATTTGAACAAACTTAAAAAAGAGAGCTTAGCAGGTCTTTGGTTTACAATCACATTATCTAGACAGTTTGTGCCTCTAGTTGGTGAATTATTTAAATGATAAAAGTTGTACTGGTACTGTTCAAATAGATTTAACAAGTTTTAGCGAATTTCCCTATAAGGAAGTAGCTATTACCGTAGGTCTCATTGTAAGACCTAGGCCCGGGACCGATTTACTTTTTCATTTTGATGTCCCTAGAGGCCAAAAACACAATTCGTTCGAACATTGTGATATATGTACCTATCTATATATGTGTGTCCATCCGCACGATAACTTGAGTAATTTTTGTCCGATTTTGATAAAATTTGGTTTGAAGGTGTAGGTAAGGCGGGATAAACTTGAATGAGTTTGCGAACCAGCATGATGGGAACGGGGTTTAACGGGAGGTTTTATGGGGTAAAAATGGGGTTTTCTCATTTTTTACCCTCAAAACACAAAATTTATCAATTTTTCTCCAGACCTTTTTAAAGAGCTTAAAAAACAAATAATTTAGTATATCAAAGTGTTTTTGTACGGTGATTTGTTACGGTGAAAATTCAAAAAAAGTTTAATTTAAAATTCCCATGTTATTCTTATGGAGAATATTATAATATGTTGTAGTTGGCTTGTTTATGGATATATTTTGATCAAACTTGGCAGATTTATTTATTTCATACTAAGCTATTTATATTTTCATAAAAACACACTTTATTAGTTTCCCTGTAGCAGCTAACCTAGGTACTTGTTAAACATAAATGTTAATTTAATAGATTGATTGAAAAAATCAATCCAGGCAAATGGAAATTCGCTAAGTCGGCAGGTTTGCTGCAGCGGGAGTATTTTACATTTCTTTTGCTTTTAGTAGGCCTAACATCAAAATAGTGGTTGAAATCACCACCGATGACAATATTATAGTTGTTCCACTGAGTTATAAAAGGTAAAAAAACATCTAAAATCCTTAAAAACTCCAAAGGTCTACCATTAGGCGAATGATACAAAGAAACAAATATAGTTTTTAAAGAATCTATAAATACGGATGAATCCTCAAAATTAAATTCCTGACAGAATTGGCTTACATCACACAATCTTGAGTTTAATTTAGTATGTACAAATATACAAGTACTGTATTCCCTCTTATATGTTTGATTCTATTGTAGGAGCTGGCACAATGTAAGTTATAAGGAAAAGCTAATTTTATTTCATCTTCCTTCAACTAGTGTTCAGAGAGGCAAATAACATAAATATTTGTGTTAATTAAAAAACTCTTCAAAGCTGAAACCTTGTCTTTTAAACCTTGGACATTTAAATATAAAATATTCAGACCATCATTTTGCCTTGATGAAGGTGTACCATTATGAGCAAGGACTTAAGATGTGTTAAATACAAGGACTATTTACAGGACTAGTTACAGAGAGAGATACAGGAACACTTTTGGCACTTTCATTTGTACTCTGCTTTAGCGCCTCACAAAACGTGAGGTCGCCGGGAACTACACTTTATAACTTCTCCATTCTGTGATTCCTCCATTGAAGTTACAGAATGGAGAAGTTATAAGGATTATTATGGAACATTAAGGGACCTACAATTGATCCCTGAGGGACTCCATATTGCACTGTTAATGGGCGAGAGGTACAAGTTTCTTTATACTTAAACTTTAAAGTTTCACTATCTTCTATTATTCTAATTCCGTAAGGAATTTCTTGTGTACAGCAAAACTCTTTTATTTATGAACCGATTTTGATGATTAAGGTGTCAAATTAAAGGGAATTCTCTTTAGAAGTCATGGAATAACTTTTGTCACGCTCAGTTCAATGTGCTTTGCTCCGTTGGACTTTAAAGTCTTCATGTATTTTAAATATACAAGTCAAAATTTGTTAAGTTTACCTAACATATGATTCATTTCTTTAAATAAAACATCTGTCCTTACAAAAATAGCATGTTTCCCTTTTGTCATTTTAATATTTACTTTTCCTGTTTACTTGTAGTGATTAATTTCCACAAATTGTTTTCTGCCGGTAAGATATGATTTAAACCATGACAATTCAGTGGTTTTTACTCCGAGTGAGCAGAGCATATCTAATAGTTTAGAATGCTCTACACTATCAAAATCTCTTGTCAGATCTAGAAAAATTCCAATTACCTTCTCCCCCCGTCAATAGAATCAATTATCTACTCTCAAACTCGATACCAGCTGTTACAGTAGACCACAATCAGCAACAAGTCTACCAAGCCCATTCTAGTTTTGACGAATTGTACCAAACAACGTCGGGATGATAAAGATATCTGTACGATCACAAGATACGGTCATGGTCTTACCACAGATTAAAGATTAGATTTAATCTGTTGTGTTACCATGCATGCGGGATATGATCACGACTTAAAAAACATTATTGGAGATGATTCCGTTAGTTGCTGTGCTTGCTGTTTAGACCTACAGTCTGGGTTGCTTATCATAAAAAATGCATAGGCATTTGAAATAAGAAATATATATCAATTCAGTAGTATTGTTAATACCTACTTAAATACTTTCAACTGAAATTGTGACCATACGAAGGTAGGTATTTTAAGCCATGTATGAATGGAGATGAGTGTAGGATGAGTGGCGCGATCTTGTAGTCTTGTTACTGACTAAGGCCGACACGTCCCTTAGACAGGACTGTTAATTAATAGCCCATACAGCCAATGCGTACTCACTAGAGCGGACGTTAATCCACACCAGGAAGTATTGCATCCACAGATCATGACTAGCCTATAAATATTCACAATTCTTGACCTCCAAGTTGCTGGATTACAGGACGACGCCACGGTCCCAGTCACAATAATTTGAGATTGATACGGTTTGAATCAGATCCTCGTAATCAAATCTTAACAATTTGGATACATTTCAAACATTTTATTCACGTGAGAGGGAATCCTCCAGGTGTTCCGCTATTTAACAAATAAATATAGAAATAGGCGTATGGTTGGAAAAAAGCCGACAGCTGACAACGTCTAATTTAGATAAAGTCTTTTGTTAAAAGCAGCCTAAACTTCATTTTCACAAGTCTCGGTCATTTTTAAATGACGAAATATATTTAGGCTACTATGGACTAAATAATGTAAATGTGACTTCAGCTAAGTTACTTACACAATTTTTATTTGTAGGTGTATTCCAAAGTGGACCTTTTAAAAATATGGTAGGCCTAATTATGATAGATAACATGGCAGAATTAATATTATCAAATAGGTGAGTCGCAAAAAATTACCCAAGATGAAGCTGGGTCCGCCTGACCAAAAAGTTTGGAAACCGCTGCTCTATTCAACTAACAGAACTTTACCTTTTTGCAGGAAGAAATATAGAAAAGTTGGATCACTACACGATTTCAAAAATGATTCTTTGGAAATAGCAAAACTCATCATGTTAAATGACCATTTTTCGGGTGGGGCATTCTTGTTGTACGGGCTGTACTCTCTGCAGGATTTTCCCAAGTAAGTATGTACGGTATTTGAATTTAAGTCAATTACGTTGCTATTCACATTCAGCAAGGCTAATATGATGAAGTTTTCTAATAAATTGAAGCTTACAAGACGAAGGAGCGTGATAAGCCCATGTACTTATGCCCCTTTATCTTGCAATCTTGCAAATTGTACTAAAGGCATGTGGCATTAACTTAGCCACAGCTGCAATTTAACTGCCTTACTTTATTTTAATATTTATTATACAACAGCTGTTGTTTGATTGTTAAAATGTTTTAGCGAATTTCCCTTTAGGGAAGTAGCTATTACCGTAGGTGGCACGGTAAGACCTAGGCCCAGGACCAATTTACTTTTTCATTTTGATGTTCCCAGAGGCCAAAAAAACCATTTGTTCAAATTTTTATATATGTACAGGGTTTTTATAAAATAATGGTAGGGTTTAGTTATGAAATAAAAAGAACACGAGAAAAGATACAAACAAACTATTTATTTTGTTGAATTACTGACATCAAAAAGATTTTATACACAGCTAATAAGCTTCAACATGACAACCATTCCTTGCTCTACAGACGGCCAGACGATGATCTATTTCAGCCCACACGTGCAAATTTCTCTTGTTACAATAGAGAGTGAATCTCTGTTTCTTTCTAGTAGATGGGCTAAATTTTGAGATTCTTTAAATCATGTTTTTGACATCTTAAATGTCCGTTAAATTATGCTAGAGTCACTGACTTTAGTTCACTTCATTACACACTTATCTTTTTCTTGACGGAAAACATATAAGAAAATACAAGTTGAAGTTTATTTTAAAGAATAAGTAGGTTGTAGATTAGCATAACACTCAGCTCAGCTGTTTCAATTAACGTAAATAAAATTCAAAAATTCATAGCAAAATTTGGTACTTTCCTGTTAAAGGGAACATTCATTATTATCGATGATTTTTTCTCGGTATATCGATATTTTTGTTTTCCGATCAATTACAAATTGACAACTGATCTTGTTTAGGCTAAAATAGTCTGTTATATGGATTAAGAAATGAAACTGTTCTAAGCTAACCTAACATAACCAACCAAACTTGCTGTACCATTTAAAAATTCCGTTTCGATAACAGAAAAGGCAAGTTAAACACAGAATTTTTAAATGTTACACAGCAAGTTTGGTTAGTTATGTTAGGTTATTTTTAATAACAGTTTCATTTCAATATTGTTTGTTGATACTGAACAATATTTATCGTAGTTGTCAGCTGATATGTTTCAATTTGTTAATATCGATATATCGAGAAAAAAAATCATCGATAATAATGAATGTTCCCTTTAACAGGAAAGTACCCAAAATTTATATATGAGGGCTATTTAGAGATCAGATTATGTATTGGAATAATAAAAAAAACTACCTACCTTTATTAGTTGTTCTAGTAAACTTCAAAAGCACTCAATTTTTTATCCTGTTCTATGCATTTCTTTTTTAGGGGAACAATTCGTTTGGAACATAACGAGTTTTGTCATGTACTAAAGATGTTGAGGTTAAAAGGTCGTAAAGATCTCATAAATGATAAAGACCATAAAGACCTGCACCTACAACTAGCATTTGTCTTTTGCACGTTTTTCAAGGCCAACGCATTAGATTTTGTGTTATTCAAACGCCAGGTAAGTTAAATAAATGCAATTTTCAAACAGAACCTATACTTGATTAACACATGGGCGAACCCACACGCTGTGAGGAGGGGCTGAGGTAACGTTTTTAAATGTTTATAAAATGTTTTTTAATATCACAATGAGAAGCTAAACAACTCATATTATTGTTAGGATATTACTGTATAATATATATTACTGCATATTTAATCATATCTATATATTAATTACGTAAGCCGATTCCTTTCGTCAAAATTGTGGGCAACTGGGAAGTCTAGAACGACGGGAGAGGGCTCAAATTAAAGGTCTCGATCCCGTGACGGCGGGAAAAATATTGAAATTCCCAAAATCTTGACACAAAATTAGATATAACGTAAAATGTTCTCCATAAGAATAGCAATAGAAGGCATTTACTGGTAATTTTTGTTCACTTCAATACAGCTGATCGTGATTTATCATTAAGCAAGTAAGCAATATTACATTTGGATTACTCATTTGCCAGTCAATTCTGCAATGTAATGTATACTATATAAAACCAACTATATATACTATATATACTACTACTATAGTTATACCTATATACTATATATAACTATATATATGGATAAAACGTTACCCATAATATTCAAGACTTTTTAGTTATGTCAAAGTTGAAATAAATTGTTTCAAGATTAAAGAAACGATTCAAGATTAAATGAAGATCTTTGTTTTGATTTCAAAACATATGTTAAAGATTTATTCCGCACTTTTTGTAAATTTACTAAAATTTATAGTTGAGATTTATTGTAGCGTGTAAACAATATGTTGTATGAAGTGGAATAACCTCAACGGTTACTCTTAGAAAACAATTTGGGAATAAAGATGAAGTAGGTTCGTACAGGTATTTGTTCATTAAGTACTTAGTACTTTGTTGCTCCAAGCAAAAAAGGTTCAAATAATATAGCCTAGCATGCATGGTAGTAAAGGGAGCACCTATATATAACAGTAGAACATAGAGATAATTTCCGTTTGTTTAGACCTTTAGGCTTATAATAATAACTAACCAAAAATATTTATGCCGTGATTAGTTTCGATAACTGGGTAATGGAACCCTAACCAGTCTCAAATAGTTAGTAATTAGACGTTGATTAGGCCCTTTTTAGGTAGAATATAGAATATGTAAATCAATCACACCTTAAGGAGGATTACCACCACATATACACACTAGGCTAATAGTGGTTTTTTAAATGTTGATCAGAAACAAATTTAGGATTAAGTTCTGTCAATGGGATGCCTTTACTTAAGACTAATTTTGTTAAACCTTTACAAAATGAGCATAGACTTAGAAATAATAACTGGGTAGGGTAGGGATGCTAATTTAGCGGTTTTGACCAAGAACTAAGTTTATCTCAACACACCATTTTTTGCCTTTTCTTATTTGACGAAGACAATTCCCAATACTGTATTTCAATCGGGGAAGCCTTTTTATCAGCTTAACCAAAAAACCGTAGCTAGCTTAATAAACCAATATTTATTCATAAACATGTTTGCTGCCTTTAGCAGTTAAAACTCTGGAATCATTCAAATTCTTTATTGAAAATAACATCAACAAAAGAAAACAAAGACAAACAACAAACTGTTTTTTGTTTTTTTTTTACACAAAAGATATGTTGTACTGGGATATCTATCCTGACATATAGATAATTTGATTCTGAGTTTGTTTAAATATTACAATAATTTCTTTTCCATTTGAGCTTTTTAGGGACTTATGTCCCTACAAGCCACTAGTTATGTTTAAATATGCAATGAGAATGGGATAGCTTAGCAATGAAAATGGGAATTTAAAATCCCTTGGTCCGAGTGGGAGACACTGTGCCTGTTGTTCTTGTTCTTACTTTTCCTATAGCTCACTTTGATCGCCAAGCCACGTTTTTGTTTGTTTGGATGTGCATTCTTGTTGCGATTTAAATATTCAATTTGACATAAAAATGTTGCCTCAACAATAGTCGCTGTGTGAAATAGCAAACACAAGCCTGACCTAAATTCTAACTTAAAATGGCTAAAATTTTGACTTGTTCTGGTGACCACAGTTTCCCACTGTCAGATACTGCAGCGAGTCAGTGTTACCATTGATTAATACAGGGGAGTTTATATAACCATTAGGGTTACCAATCTAGTTGGATTTAATTACCTAGAACTATTCGTTTTACCAAAATTGCTATGTTCATTACCCTTGTTTATAATGTGATTTAGAACGCCCATAATGCAATCCAGTCTAACCTTGGTATAACAAATCTGAAAGGAGGTAACTGAACATTGGTTATATCAAGGATTATGTTAAAACCGAAATTCCAGTAAACATAGCCTCAATATGTTTGCTGGAATTTCGCTAAGTTGAGGTTTACAAACAGCATCGGTAAATATACGTCAGGGTTTGACCTCGTTAAAACACAATTCAGTAGCATCTAGGCATCTAGGCTTAACTGTAAAGTAGAAGCTTGATTATTGAGGGTAATAGAGGGGTGGGAGACCACGGATAATGAAAACCACGTGTAATAAGGTATCATTGAAAACTACATAAAATTTACTAACTTTTTTGTCTCTTGCAGTTTTTTCGTTAAGTTAGGTAACGGTTTTCGTGAAATTTGGCATCAAATATTTTAAATGGCTGCCATTTTGAATCGGTTAGTGATTTTTTAGTATAAAATTTTAAACAAAGTTAAGCCTTAATAAGATAAACATTTTTGCAAAATCTCAACGCTGTATCTCAAACCGTTTAGGAGTTATTAATGTTTTTGTAAAAAACACATAAATACAGACAGTCGGAAAACTAGGCACCACAGACCCATATTCCTATGGTGAAATGTGTTTGTCTTGACCTAAGAAATAAGGCTATATACATTTGTCCAGAGAGTTAAGGGACACTCTGTATAAATAATCTTACAGTAGTTATTTTCCTACAGTCATTAGACAAAGTGGGTTTCCTTACCCAGAACCCACTTGTAATGCTTTTTTGTACAAAAAGCCTTACTTTGGCACACAGTTTTTACTTTGGCGCACACCAGTATTCTAACCAAACAACACAAAACCGCGTGCTTTTATTATGCACATAATCCGTGTATGCTTGAAAATAAGTTGACAACACTTAAAGATATTACGACTACAATCAGCTGGTGCAGCGTTTCCTATTTAGTTCAATGTTTGAATTTAACCTAACTTAAAAACGTGTTGTACCTACAGTGTTTGAAAGACTTATTATTTATATGATTTATAGTAACTGTGGAAAAAATATAATGCGTAACACGAGTGCAAACTGCCCTTGCTGCACTTGAGAAACCTTCCACACTCGCCTATGGTTTGTGCGGAAACAATTTCCCTCGTGTGCAGCAAAGTGCCACTTTGTTCACTAGTTACACAAATAACTATTGTGTAACTATTGGGTGAAGTGGCACTTTGCAGATTTTATAGTTTAGACAAGTTTTTATTTGAGTGTTTATTTAGGATTATTGTTTTATTTGTGATAAGAAAAAAAAAAATTAAACCAAAACTTAAAGGCAATTTTTTCAAAAAAGAACACACTTGACTAAGGAAATATTATTTAATAATTTGAATTAGGCTATTTAACATACAGTCTAGCCTTGGTTTAACGAACCTCAATATAACAAACTAGCTGGCCCGACAGCGACATCGTCCTGTCCTAATGTGGTTTTATGTCAAATGCTCGTTCATTTTCAAAATGAGCTCGTTCACATGGCTCAATCACGTCCTGGTTGAAGTTTGTTCGCTAGGCTCAATCACCTTTTGGTTGCAAATTAGCTGTTGTCATAAATTAAAAAAAAAATAATAGTGCTGAACCCGGTTGGTAAACCTATTAACTTTTTAATGCTATTGAACATCACGGAATCAAATTGTTTAGTTGAACCAGCTGTTAAGATTCTTTAATTCCATTTAAATATGAGTACTCATAAGGTTAACATGGAAACTCCAGAGCCACTGGGGCGGAGCCCTTTTGACGGATCTGCACCAAACTTCACACAAACCATCCTTGAATAATGCTTAATAATGCCTGAAAGTTTCATTACAATCTGTCAAGCGGTTTCGGAGTCCATAAAGGACAAACAAACAAACAAACATACATTGGATTTTATATCTATTTATAGATTATAGATTTCTTGATGTAACAATTTTTTTTTAAATTCCCTAGAACTCTCTAGAAGACGCAATGTATTTTTCACCTCTACAAAGAGAACAAACCAAATCAACAATCTAAATCTAACGAGTTTTTGACGATCCCGGCTGAAAAAATAACCTCGATATACCAAATTTATCATTACCTCTTATCATTATCAGAACCTATGCCCTTTTTTGGGTTACAATTGCCCTTAACTAAGATGTTTAGATTTTTTTTACTGACCCAGTCAAAGAGAATAATAAATAAAATAATTGAATGAATTGGGAATAGTTTGTTTGGAATTAATTATTTGATTACATTTTGGGCATTGTTATTAAGTGTCATTATAGTTTATAATGCTTTTTTTAAGGTTCAAAATTCATTTCCCAGCCTACTCTGGAAGGCCCCCCCATACTTGGAAACCCACTCCCAGACTGAGCGACCTGAGGCCAGAATTTTACCACCTTATCATTGTTTTAATATTTATTACAGTATGACATAGAAGGACTACATTATTCAAGTTTGATCTATAACAAGAAATACGAATTTGATGAATCTGACAGTGAAGAAGCAGAGACAAAGTCTGAATATTCTGTGCATAAAGTATTGATGCAGATCCCAAAGAAGTTGATTGATCTAGAAAAGAATTACTTCGAGCTGAAAAGTGAGATTAAATCAGGTGAGAATTGTAGGTAGCGTATTGTTACATCTTATTAAGTTTGAAACAATTAACTCCTTAAGTGAATATGCCAACAAGTGCAAAATAAAGTGCAAATCAAAACTAAAGTTTAAAATTCATAAGTTTAAAAACTAAAAATAGATCACAGCTTTGTGAACCTCGTTTTCAATTAAGAGTCTTTAACTCTCAAACTAAAAGACAAAACATGTCTTTTTTTATTTAACTGTTTCCAATCCCCTTTTGCTGGAACTGAATTTGAAAGAAAAACATTTAATCTTAGTCAAAGCATGCTTAAAACTTGTGTAATAACCTCAAATGTATATTTTTTATCATAAATATTATGCTTTTATAGAAAAAATTTAAATGTAATTTTTACAAAGCTAAAATTTGGAATTTGGAAATAGTGAAACAAAAATTATAGATTGGTGCAGTTACTTGAACTAAATGATAAAAAAAATGAACAAAGTATATTAAATTGTGCAAATCTGATCTTGTCATTATTTATTAGGAGTTCATCTAACCAAAATTCAAACAATTTAATAGTTAGCTTGAGTAAATTTTTGTCTTTGTTGTCTTTGAAATACATTAACATTGGTTGTATACATATAATTGCAAAATGATTGAAACTGGCAAAACCAAAAATAGTAAATTAGAGGGGTATCTATGTTGCTTTTGTAAGTTTGTTAAATGATTTATTGTTGTGGCATTCAAGGGGTTAAGCATTGAAGCATATGATGCCCTAGACCAGCAGACCATACTGTAGCACAGACTGTACCAACATAGACACTACTGCAGCGATCCTCACACAGCACTTGACTTAGCTGTCTAAATCCATAAATAATTGTTATGGCTCCAAGGACAATTTGCGGTCAACTATGACACCTCAGTACTTGTACTGAGCTACAAGCACACCAGTTTCAGGCACAAGCCCGCAATTTACCACGAGTGAATTTTATCATAGACCAACTAACACCAGTAGATTTAACATTCCAGTGTAAAATCTAAAGTTTTTTTATGTCTGTTTGTTAATTCAAATTCAAAATTCAAATTCAAATTATCTTTATTCATCAAGTTATGTTAGTGACAAAATGTTATTTCTTTAATTTTTACACTCGCAATATTATTCAGTACCTATCCTATAACGAATATTTCCTCACCTTTTGTTAGTGTCACACTCGAGATAATTCTATTGTCTAGCCGAGAATATTGGGAACCGGAGTTTTGCCAACGGGTGTCAGGTAGATGGGGGGGATGCCGTCGGCCACCTCTTGGTGCGGAGATTTGCCAACGGTGGGGGCGGGAGAAAGAGAGTGTGAGGGAGGGAGAGAGAGCGATTGTCAGGGTTGTCTACGCTTGGGGTTGACGACCAGGGTGATCACTGCGTTCATAGGAATGCAGTCGCATTGGGAGGAAATGTATAAGATTTTTGAGCCAGGAGCACTCATGACACATCGATTCTTCGAGTGATTATTAAAGAGCATCCATCTTTCTCATAACAGGAAAACGTACATATGTCCCCTAATGAGTTGAGTATTTATCCTTGTAAATTAATGTTTTCTTATACAGTAATTTTCAACTTTATAGTAGCATACTCAAGCATAGTAGTATACACGTGTCTTTAAGCGTCTTATTTATTAGATGCACCAAAAATGTTCTTAAACTCTTCGCCTTAAATAATAAAAATAATTCAATTTATATTTGCACCATTAAGTTCACCTAAACAAATAAATTAGCTCTAAGACGTTGCTATATTTGACAAGAGCTGTGTCTAAAATCCTGTTCTCATGCTGAGATAACGCTTTTATTATTTATATAATTATTTAAGGCTTGCAGTTATATCTCGCGTTTTCCCATATATTGATAACATTTTGTGTATCAAATCAAATGAAATAAAAATATATATATGGCTTCGTTTAGTTGAGATTTATCCAATATTCGCTTACAAATCCCACTTAGAAGGTCCTCGTAGCAGAAATCCTATCCTACTAGCGAAAACTTAGAGAATTAGGCCTAAAAGAAATCATATTTAATAAGTTTGTACTGCTGAATTATTTTTATTGATAAAATAATTATCTGTTAGTAATTAAGAATTAAATATTACTTAAAAATATGTTTGCAAATAAATATTACCGCCGTTGCGTCACAAAAACCTTCGTACTCAGCGAATTGCAAAGTTTATAATACAACTTATGTGTTATAACTTGTACTGTACCAAAATTTATTGAGATATTTTCACTATATTATTATTTGAGAAAGGGACTTCTAATTGTTGGTATTTAAACCAGAATAAGAATGGCGGATGAGTGTAGGAGGATTGTAGTGCGATCTGGAGGATGATGAATGATGAAATGTTGCTTTGATGTCTTCTGACGACGCCGATTTTGTGATCGTTGAGAGTCAAATTCAATCAATCGTTAATCATTCAAATTCAAATCTTGTAACAATATTTTCTTTCTTAAAGTACGGAAACGAATTGACGCAATGTCCAGATAAATTCGCGTACACGGTAAAAGTCACTGATGTTCACTTTTTTACAGAAAATAGGCCAATTATAGGAAAACCAGGAAAACTCCATTTTCGACACTAGTAACGAAATAAACCATTCTAGAGGTCGTCCAGTGGTCGAAACTCGATCAAAAATATGTAGGCCTACAGTTAGATTTTTTAGCTAGAAACGGTTGAGGTACGTTGGAATATCTTTGAAGATGAACCTTTTTGGCTGTAGGGAGTGTGATCATGTGTTAAATGTTCACATGTCAATTTTAAGGTTAAATCAAAACAAACCAACTGGCATGTTGTCAATTAGGGACAAAGTTGTATTACTTACGAAATAATGTTCATTTAAGATCAAATTAATTAATTTAGTATTACCTATGTCATTGTATGATTCATTAGAATAGATTCATTGTTTGTTTAGGCTCCTGTGTTTTATAAACCAAACTCAAATCTTGCTATACCTCGGCCTATCGTATAACGTTTCACTGTTTGATACCTGGTAAACTTATCAGAATCCATAAGTGAATTATTAGCAATACAATTTAGCTGTTAATTATAATTTAACTGTGTCAAAGCTCAAAACGTTAGGCTATAATTTCATTGAAAAGTATTAAAAGTATAAAGGCTTATCTCGTCATCTCGAGAGTATATAATTCTGTTGACCCCTAACTTGAAACCCTTAAAAGGTAGCCAAACGAAACGTAAATTATCCCAACAGTTTATCATGTGTATCCCAGTCACAGCAACTACATTATTCTATCAATATAATGATCGACATTAATTTTGCAAGAAGATTCAATATTTTAATATTTGCTCATGTTAAATTATTTACTTTTTAAATCAACCATCACTTAATTTGAAGACCATAATTAAATAACAATTTATTCATAAGTTGATTTGGTATTAGGAATCACGGTTTTATTTCACTGTAAATATTCTCTACTGACCAAGTGATTTTATTAAAGTAAAGTAAGTACATTTAACGATTGGCAATTGAGTATTATGTATGCCAGTTTGTTTGTTTTGATTTAACCTCAAAATTTGACACGTATGAACACATGATCGCACTAAAAAGGTTCATCTTCAAAAATATTCCACCACAGCTTAACCACTTCTAGCTAAAAAATCCAATTGCACTGAACAGACTTCTCTATTTTTCACCCCAAACTGTAAGTTTGCAAAAGCCGTTAGCATGGCAACCCATAAAGCCCATGTTAATTTTTTTTTATTTCAAATTCATTTTTCGTGTTTATTTTTTAGTCTATTTGAATCTTTAAAGGCATTCTGCACATCTACAGGAAAATATCTTTCTAACAGTATGAGTAGATTTTCTCTGCGATGCACACGAGCTAAGAAAAAAGGTTTTAAAGAAACATGCTTGCCTATGTATTAATATATAGAAGATAGATGGTTACAACAATGTTGCTTATAAGAAATGTACTATTAAATATTTGTTGGTATTAAAAATTAAGAATTATAAATAGGTACGGAACATATACTGTGTAAGTTAAACAAATATTACAAGGGTAAAGAGTTGATGTTTTGTAAAACTATGCTGTTTCCGATTTTAAATTTCTCAATGACTGCCATTTTGAATTGCTTGAACGTATACATGTGGTAGTCAACAAAAAGTAAGATCCTGTTAGTATTCATACATTGATCGACTTTAAAGTTGATTCCAATAATAGTTTAAAAGTTAAGTGGAATTAAATAAAAATAACAAACAAACCGACATGCAGAAAAGTAGCCATTTTAGACCCATGTTTTAAAATATGTTTTTTATTAACATAAAATACAAGTGGACAACATTTTTCCAGGGAGTTTTTATACACCCTGTATAATATACACATATAACAATTAACAGTTATAAACAATCTGGAAACCTCTATCTACTGAAGTTAGCAGTCTCGCACGTGACTTAGAAAATACAAAAAAACGGCACTAATGAAGTTTGCATTCAACGTTAAATGATTGCATTCTGTTACGGTTATGTAAACCAACCGTATTTACTATTAACCGCATTTATTAACTGTATTTTGCTAATGCAAAATAATTAATTAATTTGGCCACTGTTAAATGTTTATTTTAAAATATCTTACGGGTACTTTCCTGTTAAAGGGAACATTCATTATTATTGATCTGATTTCTTTCGATATATCGATAATTTTGTTTTCCTTTACGATCCATACCTTCTGTTTTAATATCTTCAAACACATTTAAATTACATATTGTCATCTGATCTTGTTTAGGCAAAACATAAATAAGTAAAACTGTTTTAAACTAACCTAATATAACTAACCAAACTTGCTGGGTTTGCTGTATCATTTAAAATTTCGTTTGATAACAGAAAAGGCATGTGAGTAATATGAAACGGAATTTGGAAATTTTACAGCAAGTTTGGTTGGTTAGGTAAGGTTAGTTTAGAACATTTTCATTTCAATATAATACTAGTGTACCTGTTGCTCGAATTCGAGCAATTGCAAAGCATTACAGGCGTTATTTTA